CTGTCAGGGTTTATTATCTATCTTCACCTTTTCCAACTAATTCTATTGCTAGGTGAAAAGCAGCCATAAAGCACAGAAAGTTTAATCAAGGACTGATGAAAAGTGCAGTGTGTACAAACTCTGTGCAACTTACAGGCAAGCCGTATGGTCCTCTGGGTCCAGGGTCACCTACAGTCCCCTTTTCACCCTAAGAAAAGGTTACACAACAAGCAAACAAAAACATTGTCTATCTTAGAAATTATCTCTACCAAGTACTTTAGGTTAAAGTTTATACATTCCTAAATATTTTTATTTATTTTTATTAAATGCTTAAGGTGCAAAGAGAGGGTCTGTGTTACTTTCTAAGCAAAATAGCTTTTAATATCTACATTCATTTTTAAATACATTAGTAACTGAAAATATTTTTCAAACCGACTTGCACCAATGTCAATTTTAAGCTTGTAACAGCTGCAACATTGCTCTCAGTAAAAATCTAATGTTGTAATGAAAACTAAGGATATACAGCATCAAGCTTCAACAGAGCAGCTGAGATGTGACATAGTGACAGGCAAAAATAATGTGTCAGTCAAAGCTTGTATTTAAGTAGGCAATGCTATTAACAGTGACATTGTGAAGATTATCCTATGCACTGTACTGTGTTTCTAAATGCTCTACTGAATTCTAGATTAGTGATGTAAATACCCTGGTTTATTATATCAAAACTATATTAATGTGGGAGACGAACAAGTAAGTACAGAGATGACTCCAGAAGTTTGATCTCATTCTGCACTAAAATCCATGGACAACTTACCAGATGGGGGCTACCAAAATCATTTTGTAAGCTTAATATAGGGTAAACTTTTCCAAATGAAGTGAGATTTCAAGATGATAAATTTCATTCAGGCTGACAGTAGTAATCACCTTTGCTCTCTGATTGTTCTTTATCAAGATTGTCATGAAGTCAAACTTCCCAAGTCAGCAGCATTACCCAGGTAACTTCAAGCACAGATCCCTGTGAGCCTGTTAGGGAGTCAGGGCTGATATGTAGGTGCGGGCAGCAGTCTTGTTTCAGACTGTGGTGTTCTTTTTTCTGAATAAAATCCATCAGAAAAGCCATACTCTCTCTTGAGAATTAAACTGCTCCAAGTGTTGATAAAATAAGAAAAAAAAAATCCTGACCACCTCGAGTTTTCAATGCTCCTACTCTGTTTTTGTTAAGCAGGATCCCTTCTTCACCCCCTTTCCTGAACCTAACCTTATGCAAGGCTTTGTGCAAGGCTCCTGGCATACAGAAGTGCTGTATTTCATCCTAGCACTTGCTGCATTATGCCCTTGAGATAATTCTCTGTAAATAATCCTCTGGGTTATTTATAATTATTATTAATTAATTAATGAGTCTATTATTAAGAGCACAAGACATAGATGTAGATGTGTACCTAATTAATAGTGGTGATCATCGGCACAGCTAAGTCCTTGGCACAGTTCTGAAAATGAGCTGCTGAGTCTAAATTTCATTGACTGAATTATACAAAAAAGCAGGCACCAGAAAAAAATTAATCTGAACCTCTGGCTGAATCATCACAGCAATACGGAGTTTGTCAAAGTAACTGACATTTGACCTGTTTTAAATACTTCATATTTTATTTAGGTGGACACTTACTTTAGTCCAGTGGTGATTAGATGTGCAATGTCTGATCTTTCTGGATTCTATTATTCCCCAGCTATTTCTCAGCAACACTTAGGCTGGATGCCCTTGCAGAACAATAGGAGGTATTGGGAAGTAACAGCTCATTTTCAAAACAACAAATTCCTTGCAGCTTTAAAGCTTTCTGCTAAGAAGAAAATAATGTGCTGACCTATGTATGTAACAGCTACAAAACTTTTTGATCAATACTTGAAATATGTCAAGACTAGTTAAGTATCTTTTTTTAAAAAAAATCTTCAACAGCAAAGATGACTGCACAAAGTCCTCTTAAGATAGGCTTATAAAGTTGCTAAACATATGGTAGACATAAAGATACTGAATGTATCAGTCTAGGAAATAATCTCATCTGTTATGTAAGAATATATTTGGAGAAGTGTAACTCAGAATTTTTTGCCTCCAACACAAAGCACATGATGAAATGTGTCTGGAATATTAGATGAGGTCCTGAATGTTTATGGATTATATAAGATTGACGGACTGTCATGAGTATATTGCCCTCAATCATACTGATAAAGCATTTCCTCCAGAGAAGCAGATATTTGCAAACTTCAAGAAGGTTTTTAATATTTTTTGTAAGACAATCCATCAGTGTCCAAAGAATAGAAACCATAGTATATGTTTTTGCCTCCTATTTCACTTCCGTCTCCTGAATCATGGATGAATATGAATTACCATTTGTATGATTAAAGCTGAATAATTAGTGTCTCCTTTAAGATAGATAGGGAGATTTTATAACACTGCGTAGTGAGAAACATTTTAACCACATTAAAGAGCATGCACCTTCCTTACTAGTACAAAATGTGTGTAGTGATGAAAGTGTTGCACAGGTTACACATCTGAAAGCCAAAATCAAACTCAAAAACAGGTCTTTCACATCAAGGAAAAAAATAAAATAAAAAAAAGGAAAATAGGGAAATGTGCATTTCCACCTTTCAGATCTTTAGATGGTCAAGAAGTTGGATACACACTATGCCTGTCATTACCATTCAGGTTTAAACGCCCCCTTTCAGTAGTAATAGTTTAAGATGTCTATCTGTTTTCCAGTGTTCTCTATTTTCTCTCAAGATGGTATATAAATAAGATTAATCACTACACAGATTAAGAGGCCTATTATGATCAATTCCTCCATTTAATAAAGATGGTCTCAGTAAAATGTCCCCAAGCACCTAGCAAAATGGTATTTCCAATAGCTGAAGAATTTAATAAGGACTGTAAGACACCAATCTAATAAATTATGTTAATTCACAGTATTAATTACCATTTTGGTCTACTAAAAGAAATGCAGAAAATCACATTATACTGTCATGCATGACTTTCTTAGTCTACCTTCTCACCATCTAAACAGATTTTGTACAAAGATGATACGATGTTTTCTATTTTAATTAAATAGCTAAATTGAAAACCAACCAATCCACTCTAATTTGTGCAACAGCCTGTTCTACTTCAGAGTAGTGATTCAGCACTGCCTTGAATGCAGCCTGTCCAACAATGAATCCATGATTATTCTGTAGAATAACCCTAATGCCCAAGGTTTTTCCTGTCAGTACAACAAAATGCGGTCCTATCCAGCACTAGTGAGCAGTGGCACTATGCACTATTTTTAATTGAAAAGTAAAGTCTGAAATCTGCAGGTAAAAATGTTTTCCTCCTGCTTGCACATAAACAAGTTCAAGAGTTGCAAATGGAAGTTGTAAAATTCTGTTGAAAACACATCATTTGTTATTTAGGTAAGAAGACGTCTATCAACGCCAGGCACCTGTTACATAACTATGCTACAAACAACTCCTCCCAAATGGTACTGAATAATTAAGTGAACAATTACAGCAATAACCTTGCTAGTTGATTGCTTGGGAAAAAACCTTCCATCTGTCTTGTGAACTTCCTCCTATTCATTTAGCTACACAGAAAATAGTGGGTGTGCAGGAATTTCTTGCACACCTTAGTCTCTATATTTTCGCAAATCTCTCCCTCTGTGCTCATGCAATTATTGAACTGATTTACATCACAGCCATTCCCACCCCCTTTGTAACTACTATTTGTCAACAGCCACAGTAGGGCTGATTCTAGATCCAGATGTATGACTTCTTATGACTGCACACTTTCACAAGAAAAAATATTAATAGTTATTTTCCACAGACTAGAAGAATAGTTTATATTATAGCACATTGTTTTACAAAGACATTTCAACTGGTAGTATGTGTGCATGTCCTTTAACATAAAAGCTCATAATGCAAGAATAAAATGCTATTTTTATATACTTCTACATGTATATCTCATCTAAATTATTTACTGAAGATCAGAGGATGATGTTCAACTATCGTTTTACAGAGGTGATTGAAGAAATAGTTGAAAAAAAAGATAATTGAACCTGTAATCCCCTAGAAAAATTCTAGGGGATTAGAAATTCCCAAGTCCTTCAGATAGTTAACTAACCTGAGTGGTAACTACAGTCTACTGTTCCTACTTTGGACTATGCTGCATGTTTTGAATTTATGTCTCAGCACATGGCTCTGTAAAAGTGAATCATACCTTTCTCAGACGTATTGCTGTTGAAGCTAACTGGACCTCTGCCATGTGGCTGTGTCCTTAATACAGTAAGTCTGAAGTTGCTTTAGCACAGTTGTTTTGTTAAAGTGAGAAAGTCAAAGAGACATAATTCTGGACTGGCAACTTCCTGGAGGTTTTAGTTAGTATGAGGTATCATCTTCTGGTTTGTTGTATATGTTGATGGTTGTATTGTTAAAGGTGACAGGTTCACACTTAAAGATTAAGAGTTCCTATCCTATTTTCATGGAGAAAATTTATTGTGAATATTTCGAATGAAAAAGGAGGGCTCCTATCTTCTAAGCTTAAAAAAAAAAAAAGGAAGAAAATTTTAAATTTTACAGAGCTTGGAGACTCTTTTCCTGGATAAAAACAGTTAAGTGCATACAGGAGAGAAATACTCTTCTTTTTTTTGCCATTGCATAAGAATGTAATCAGATCACATTATATTTTGTCCCAGTTTATTCTTTCAATTTACACAAAATAATGAAGCCAACAAAAATTATGTTCTGTGTGGTACTGTGAACTTGAAAGTGCTGTCAATTTCTTACTGATTAGTCATTTCAAAATACCAGGTCCTCTGAAGTTAATGAGTTACAATGTCAACTCTTAAACAGATAAACGCATGTGTAACTAGAACGCATATAGTTCTGGGCTGATCCTTACATAGATGAGATACTGTTGTGTTTAGCAACATCTAAATATAAATAAAGGTAAAATATAAGTACCCATACGAGATTTTCCATTGTGGCAGTCACTTTGTAAAGAGAAGCACACAGAACATATACTTACTCTGTCTCCTTTAGGGCCTGCGGGGCCATGGGGACCAACTGAGCCATCTATACCCTGCAAAAGGAAACAAAGAGGGTAAGAGCAAAGTCTTGTTCTTGCAAGTCTTTAGTTTTAATAGCTGTCTTCTAGCCAAGAACTAACATGGAATCAGTCTTCACTGGCTGAAAATTCAAACTTAATTGTGGTGGGACCTAGCTGAACAAATCCATTTGGCTTTCAAAACTCCACCTATAACCTCTCCTGTTACGAGGTAAACCATCCTTCTAGTCAGATCCCTAACCTTAATCCCTAACCTTACTCAAGAAAATAAACAACCCAACTAAGGCAGCTGTCCAACCAAAAATCAAAACTAAACCGCCTTTTTAATGTTCAGAACTCCTTCTACAGAGAATTACACTATCCTTCCCACATGTTTTGCCCTAAGAGTCTGTCTGAAGGCCCCTCTAATACAGCATGGAAAATGCCTGCAGCATTTGGCCTTTCTTCCTCCGTGCAGTGTGTGAGCATGGCTGGCAGAGCCCCTGGGAAGGACATGGACTCAGTAACGAAGAGTGACACAGAAAGACAAGGGACTCACCCGGGGTCCTGGCTTTCCGTCTAAGCCAGATGCTCCCTGTGTGGTTAGGTGGAAGCATGGATGATGGGTACAACACCAATGACAAGAACATGAGATTAGTAAGTGGTACTGATGAATAAACATAATTCAAACGTACAGTACAAGTTGTGACAGGGTTCTGGAATGGGTATCACATTACTACATCATTGTTAGTTAAAAATTCACATAAAACATCAGGAGCCTGATTCTGTTCTCACTTTAGTGTCACATCACTGACCCACCCCTGTCCTCACATCACAGTATACTAGACCAGAATATTTTCAAGCTATAGGAGTGCTACAAACACCAGATGTTAGGGTGGTTTTGAGCCTTAACACACAAATATTTACTTTGTAATTTACTTGCATGCTTTCTAATTTGTAAATAACGACAGTACTGAATACTATACACAAAGGAAGAAAAATGTGTGCTAACTGTGATAGGAAATATTTAAGTGTAAGAATACTGCATTATGCAGCCAACAAAATCTGGATCCTGACTACAATGGCCTCATTCATTTCCAAGAGCCCCGGAGACAATCACATTTCCTGTTTTCCCAATATACTCCCAGTTCAGAGCACAGTCAAGGGCTGCAACAGCAGCACCCGGCACTCTGCGCTATGTGCCTCAGCATCCTTGGGGATGGGGTGACCCCTCGTGGATTGTGTGGGAATAACAGAGCAGCAGCGAGAGCGCTGCAGTGCGGGCAGGGCGGGACAACACTAGTCGGGACATAGGGAATAATCTGTGGGACACTCCCCCAGAAAAAAAACCAACCCAACCCCAAAAGAAATCCCAACTAAAAAACTCCACCCAACTCAATAAAATGAGCCATGGAACATCAAAATCTTCGACTTTGCTCCTGAAAATTACATTCAGAAGCAATAAGCAGTAGAAGACAAGATCTATGTAAATTTGAAAAACTAATAGCATATTTTGTTCTGTGTTAGAACAAACATTTCTGGAAGAAATAAAACTTTCTTCTACCTTTTAGCCATTTTCAGGGTGTTGGCTCAGGCCTCCAAAACACACTCTCTACAGAGGCGTGACTGTCAATGTGAAAATGATTTTTTTTTCTCAAAATAAATTAAAACTAAAATTCTCAGTGAAGCTGACCTTTTCCAGTGGCCCCGCACATAATTCTTGAAAATATTAATCAGAGGGGTTTGTTTCTTTGTGTCACCTAAGTGTTTTCTCTCCATTTTACTGTTAACAATGTAATCACAGGGAATAATCCTTATACAACATTACAACAAAAGGAAAAATGTACTCCTTTTGTGAGAAAAAAAGAAAAGCTATCTTTTCAGCATGCTTTCAAACACATAAAGTATTTTCTATTTTATTATCCTAAATTTTAACATATTAATGTTTCCATATTTTTAGGGTTCTTCATTTCCTTCTAAGAAAAAATTTATGCCAAACACTCAGAATGGAAATTTTCTAAAGAGGGAGGAAAAAATAACAATCAGTGAAAAAAAAATTAAATTCCCTAAACCAATTTTTAACTTTCCTCAGTTAGACCTCTCCATTTTAACTGCAGAAGGGCAACCAAAGGAAGAATAACTGAGGAGACGGAGGAAAGGGAAGATTCCTTTTCTAATGCAAACACCATGCAACACTTAAATAACAGTATGACTAATGTAATGGGGGTGATGGCATCCTTATGACACTGAAGACTCTCAACTGACACATAACAAAAAAACCAAACCTGACAGCACTGGTGTTACAGGATGATACTTTGGACAATAGCACAGATTTGGGACAAAATGAAACAAGATTTATGCTCTGCTCTAACAAGGTATATTCTGTGTATGCTACTAAGTAATTCCGAGTTGTTCATCACGAGTAGAAATAAAAGTTTGTGATTTCCACTGAGATTGAATAGTTGGGTTTTTTTACTTACTGGAAGACCAAGGGGCCCTCTGTCACCCTTTTGACCTGGTTCACCCTTCAATCCTTTAAGACCATTTAACCCTGGTTCACCCTAAATGTAAAAGTATAAATGCCAAATTTTTGGTGCTATAATGGATGCTTAAGCTGGGATAGAAGAAGCCAGACTCAGAAATAGCTGCAAATTCCAGTTTGAAACAAGGACACAAATTCAACTTTCTCAGTTTACTGGCAATTAATGGCCAGTCTTCGCGAGCGAAGATTTTGGGAAAGGTCATTAACCCTTCCAGCCTGCGCAGTGGATTTTTAGGTGAGACACAGCGTGCGCTGAACTGAGCCCACCCTTTAGTCCTGAGGTTCATCTGCCGGGGCCGAGCAAAGCTTGGACAGTGGCAGTGAGGTCCCCAGGATGTAGGTTTGTTTAGAGTGACCTTCTCTTAGGTGGATTGCCTACCAAGGCTGACGAGCTCCACCTGCCCAGGGGGCCGGGAATCGAACCCGGGTCGCAGAGGTGAGAGTCAGGCACTCTAACCACTATTAACATACTAATATAATACTGGGCAAAAGCACTTGGGAGGTGTCTGCTGGAAATTTAAAATCTGTGTGAAAAAAACCTACAGGAAACTTGGGAGTAACACATTTTTTTAATCTTTTCCTAATAATTGCCACTAAAGTTAGATGGTTTGAATTAAGAATGAGTTTCAGGGGTTTTGGAAATCCCTCAAATCCCATAAACCACCCTATGCAGATAATTCCAATTGAAAGAAAATGTTCAGAAAAATAAGCCTCAAAACTGTAGGTTTCTACAGTGGGATCTCCTGAAAAGTATATTTGGTGAGGAAGCAATACTTTTCCTTACAGCAAACTGGAATTTGCAGCAAAATCTTACATAAAGATATTTTAAACCTTTAAGCATACACAATTAAACAATAACAAATTAAAAGCAGTATGGGTTACACAATGCTAAGCTATTTGGGAGGTCCATAGTTTCTGTCTTCATACAGAGAAGTTTTAACAACATAAGAAATGGCACTTTGTCTTGTTGTGATTGTTAAATTATGCACAGGCTATTATATTAAACATCACTACGAGGATAACAGTGGGCTTGGAGTTGCTAACAGATCATTCTCCCATAATGAAAAACTACATCAGTATGAGGGCTGCTCGGTCAAAAAGAACACTGACCACAGTTGACCCTTTTGGGAAACAGAAATACATGGGTTCTTCATCCAGGTTGTTCCCTATGGCCTCATTCCCAGTTTTCTCTTCAATGTATTATGTTACCTTATACCATATTCATATTTAAAAAAAAATATCTCAATAGAACCTAGTCTGCTCCTTTAAGTAACTCCAGACATCATCTGTTGCTTTGCACCCTGCCTAAGTAGCCATTTCTTCATTCTTCTTCTATTTGACTCGATGGGACTTTCAGAGCAGTAGCACTGAAGATGAAATTTTGGAAACAGACCTGAGAAATCCCACAAAAGCCTGAGTCTCAGGCCAAAAGCCTGAGGTAAGGCAGGGCTGGTGCTAAGATGGAACAGACTTGATTTCAAAAAATGATTTATGACTCGGGCTTCTTGAGCCAAGGTAACATGAACAGTCTCATAAGGAGTCAAAACAAATTCCAAAAACTAAACAAGAAAGGCCCTCTCCTTCTCTTCCTTACTTTTTGGGAAAGGTAGATGTGATTAGGGAGCCATGGTGATTCAAATGTTCATCCTGACAAGACCGCTGGCCTTAACAAATGCTATGCTATAGTGTCATGCTCAATTTTAGCTTACTAGTGATTACCGAATTAAAGCACAAATTAAAATATTCAACTCTGCCAAAATTCACTTCTACCCTCCTGAGCTGTTTTCACTGAGTCCCTACAGTATATCTTTGTGTAATATGCTATGAGAACTGTTCAAATAGCATTGCAGACCTGCCTGATCAGGAATTTCAGTTTGGAAAACATGAAAATACACCCATCAGTTTGTGATGGTGAACTAGCATAACATGTGAAGTAACTGCTCAGCAAAATACATGGTGCCTAAGAAGGTGAAAGGCCATGCACACTGGAAGAAGTAGGAGATACAAGAGAGCATAAATAGAGTTTATCTGACTCCATTTCCTGAGCCTGTAACATGCTTCTGTGTTCCAAAGTAATTCCAAGTACAATAGTAGCTTGCCCATAAACAGGAAACTAAATAACTCAGTGCCATATCACAAATATCAATACAGAAAAGGAACTCAGCTAATGCTGAGGAGAAATACTACTCAGAAAGAATCACAGAAAATTTAAAAAGCTTTTAAGCTGTCTGTTAATATTAAAATCTGCTTTAAGGTTTAAGAATATCAGAAACATTTATCAAATGAGACATGACAAAACATAGCTCCATGTGTTAAAGAGCGAAGCATGACACTTTGCAGACACTGAGAGTGTGACTATTCAAGACAGGTATTAATTTACCTTGGGGCCAGGAAGTCCATGAGGTCCCTGAAAATAAAGATACTATTTTTCATTACAAAAATACACCACCATTTTTTAAGGGTTTGTTGCTTTATGGGGGTGCAAGTTGCACCTATATTTTTGTAATCACAAACAAAATGCAGCTGTCAATAAAGCACCTGTAAACACCTGATTCTTAGGTTGAACCAGATCACTAGCACATTAACACTAACATAGGCAGGTGCAAACTTTTTTCTTTACTTCTTATGAATTTTAAGACATGCAAAAAAATTTGTAAATTAGATCCCTCTCTAGTGGCCACGTATTCTCATAACACTTGCAGTAAGCAGGCATTAAAGTGGCAAGAGGGTTTAAGCCCTTTCTAGCCCCACTCTTCCTCCCAAGCTTACCATAGGGCCTGGAGGACCATGTGGCCCTGGTGGTCCAGGTGGTCCTATCATCTACAGATAAAAAACAATGGCATTAAATCATGCAGAGTAAAGAACTCCTGCAAAAATACCAGAAGTCAGACTGAACCTCCTTCTGTTGGCAAGTACTTACAAAAATAGCAATGCAACAGTGAACACTGACAGTGTATCTAGACGGGGCTTTAGGAATGGGAAGTATTTTGATTTGAAAGACAGGGTACCAAAAGTGTAGATTTGCCTGTGCCATATGGCAGCTTGCCTGTCTCCTGATTCTTATTCCTAGGGTCTATGATACACTTTAAGACACTATCATGAAAAAAAAAAATCTCTGTAAAACAAACAGTACTGAGCAGGGATGCTTGAAATTTTAACATTTTATGGTATGTGCTCTTTAGTTCTCTCTCGTACTACTTAATCAAGAGAAACAGAAGAAGATGATGTGTTATTTTATCCTTTCTCAATACTGATGAATGGAAAAGATACTAAATTCAAGCTAGGCTTTGGCATATTTTCAAAATTGCCCTTTCTCTCTCCTTCTATTTAGTTTAGACCACTTATACCAAGAATTCTCAAAAGCCATTAAAATAGGTAATCAGGTTGCTCAGCATTTAGTGCATGCGTATTCTGCACTGGTTTTCTGTGTTCCTAACAAATCCATGGAAGGAATTTTATGATGATATATACAGTTTAATATCACCTCTCTTCCTGGATTTAATCCCAAAGGGCTGTTATCATAACCTGCAGAGTGGCAGCAGGGATGCTAAATCAGGTCTCCAGGCTTATGCACAACCACTCTGCTACACTAGCTGCTAGTGATGGCAACAGTGGCAACAATATGCACTTTGAAACCTAAGACAGATTCCACCATCTGTGAAATCTCCTGAAAACTGAAAGCCTTCCTTCAAGTGAAAACAAGCAGAACAAGATGAATGAGTTTGTGAATTAATTTGTAACTAATCTTCATTTCAGAGAAAGAGACTCAGAGATGCAGGGTGCCTATCGTGTCCTGTGACAACACAGGGGAGCCTCTGATTCCTCAGAACCAAAATCTTCTGTCACCAGTGAGAAGGTAGTGGTAGTTAACAACTGCTTTGAGGTCTCCTATCCTACTGTGCTCTGATAACCTTAATCACCCATATCATAAAGGTACTTTGTGGGAGATTGTTTGCTTGGTGTAGTTTTTTTTGTGTAGTTGATCTTTGGCTTTGTTGCTTTCCTTGTTTTTCTGTTTGTTTTTTAATGCCTTTGCAATGCTTTGAAAAAAATCAGGAGAATGTCTGGTCTCATAAAACTAATCACTACCCTGGTCACACATCTGAAGTCAGTCTAGTCTGATTCTCACTGGACTTTCTGAGATTCCCAGAATATAAGGTGTTGAGACAGGTTATGGTTTGTGTGGGGATTTTTTTTTCCCCATTTATACTTTGATTCATAACGGAGCCAGAAGGCTTTCACCGAAGCAAGCAGGACTGTCGTTCATAGCGACAGAATAGAACAGAACAGGTATAATTCTTTAAACTTAACCTGTTAAAACTTAACCTGTATTTAGCTCAATGACCAGAAGTCTGTTTATTCGCAGGAAACATCAGTCATGATGAATACGAAGTATCGTTCAGAATCAAAAGCTGGAGAACCATTGCTGGACTCCTGTGTTCATTGTAACACCACACTGAGACTTACTGAAGGACCTTGGGCACCAGGGAAACCAACATCTCCTTTTTCACCTTTCATACCATTGGCTCCCTACAAAATCATTAGGAAACAGCATTTATAAACAGCTTTAATCTTATTAGCAATCAATCTAGAAATGACAATATTTATTTGCAAATAATTCTAATTTTAAAAAATAAAAGGATGGCACACATATAAAGGAAACCCTTTTTAAAAGTTTTGGGATTACTTTATAAATAACTGTTAACAAATGTAAAGGGATGCTTTTATATTGATAGCTATCAATTGTGGCAGGATATTCCTGACAATTCCTTAATCTGATACTCCACTCATGATATATTCTACTATGGATACAATTTCAGAACAGTTTCTATTTTTACTGAGAAATTTCATATATATATATATATATATATATATATATATATATATGGAAATGCATCCCATAAATATTGATGCATTTTCTCTTGCTCCTCAATCTAAGTCATCTGAAATTCCTGACAAGTGTTCAAAACATAGCTCCTTTTTCCTACAAGCTACACTTGACCGAGTTGTGCCATATATTACAAGAGAGGTACAATTCTGGACCTCTTCCCAATGCAATACTGTTTTTGACTGTAAGTGTAATGAAAAATTCTGACAATGTTACACATCCTCCTAGATTAGCTGCAGAACAATCTCAGAATTTTCTCCCCAGTGCTTTCTGTCCTGTTTGCAATTTATCAGCACTGTTGGAAATTCCTGACAATGTAAGAGGGGGAAAAAAAAAGTATTTTAGCTAAAATTAAGTAATTATTTTTTCATACTCACTGGCAGGCCAGGCAGTCCAATTCCTCCCTTTTCTCCAGGCATTCCAGGATCACCTGTATCTCCTTTTGAGCCCTTAAGACCCTAAAATATGGACTTATTCAGCAAGTTATGTAAAAAAAACAGAAACACCAACAGAATTCTAGCTTTGATCCTAATAAGCTGAATAAGCCACGTGCATGCATATACCTTTGCTATTACAATGCAGAAAAGCAGACATTATTAGATCACAGAGTGATCTATGCAGCAACATAATAATAATCTTTATTAATTACTATCATAATAGTATTAAGTTAGATTATGAAATCTAAGTTACAGCTTGGGATCATGGAAATTTCTTGAAATAACCTATGATTGCTCACGTGTTCTTCACTATGTGATTTACACATAATGTACCTGCTCTCCATCAACTCCTGGCGTTCCTGGGGATCCTGGTTCACCCTGCAAAAGATGGAGTTGCATTATCCCAGTTGTCCCAGACATTTGAGAAAAGAGGCAGAGAAATTGCAATAATTAAAAACAAAAAAAGCCAGGGAATATTATTCCAAAAAACCCAACATATGTATAATTCCTATATCGAAAAAATAGCCCTGCTGATTAAGACTACAGAAACTTTGGGTTGCATAAAGACCAGACAAGTGCATAAAAAGAAATGAAAAGAAGACAAAATACCAGGAGTGAAAAGACCCCAATCCAATGGAAACTTTGCCCACTACCACAACAAATGTGGAATCACGGCTCTCAACTTATGTAAGGTACACAGAGACTTCATCTTTTCTTTCCCTGACTAATATGAATCATCCAGTGTAAGAGTTCACATTCACAACACTGTCCTATGACCAGTTCCTGAGAAGCATTCTCTAAGGGAGCAAATAACACTGATGGGTAGAGTCTATGATATCAGAAACAAACTCTCATAGTGTTGAATTCTGCTTTATGTTATAGATTTTGAATGAAAATGCTCATCTATATGAAGAAATACAACCTCCTCCACACTCCAACTCCTCTGTGTTTTACAATATACTCGGGGTTGCAGAAATGCTGGGTAGATGATAACACAAAAAGCAATTTCTGCACACTTAACTGTGTATTCTATTATCAATTTTCACGTAGAAGAATGAACTTTGTTTCTCACAATTTCTCAAAACAATGAACATGTGTATTGTGATGTACCTCCATATGAAAGACTGGATGAAGTCTAAAACTGAAATGTCTAGTTTTGTTGTTGAAGATGCACATATTTGCTCTTGGAAGAGCTTAGAGACACTGAGGGATATCTAGTATTTAAGAAATAGAGAAATATAGCAACTAATTTAAAGCAATTTAGAGAGAGTCCACTAACTTCAACACTTTTTTTTTTGAAGTATAAGCAAATTTATTATTTAAATTTTATAGAACAGTGCAGCATATGGTATTCATTGCCTCTGCGTGGGCTGCTCACTAACCCTTCTGGTATACGTATAGAACCAGCCAGGTGGTATTAGCAGGCCTGGGTTTCCAGCCAGGCTCCTGCCCACAGGCTCCTGTTTTAAATTTTTACCAACATTAGAAAATACTGTACTTATTTGGGTGGGTACCACCATGACAAAAGCTGCATTCACATCCACTCATACTGTGTCCAGTGGTATCTTGCACACAGTTTTGTTTACCTCATTCCCACTCAGCCAGAAGTGAGGCATAGGAGCCACTGTCTGGTTGTGCAGACACTTTGCAATGTCCTAAGAATCAGCCTCAGTGCAGACCCCTGAGTTAGATGCTTCTGCACACTTTCGGTACTAATTAATTTTTCTGGCTCTTAGTTGAGCAACTGTGTGTGGCAACCAATCAAAGCACCTATTCTGGAAAGCTACAGTTAAAGAATCTGGGATACAAAGTCGGAAACATGCCACATTTGGTAAAATTACAGTTAAATAAGCTGTACCAGAAAGCTCCTTTTACCTGTGTGCATACATCATTTGAAAAAACAAAACACTCCACCCTTAAGATACAATGGGTAAAATAAGGAAGATCACCTTTGGCCCTTGCAGCCCTTGGGGTCCTGGTGGTCCTGGTGGTCCCTAAACAGAACATACAAACCTCTCAGCTTTTAAATAAATTCCTGAAGAACTTGCCATGTAAGCACAGGGTGAATGTTAATACAGCCACTGTAACAAAATGGGTTAGATTTTGAACACAAGGGGAACCAAGACCATTTATGGACAAGTTGTTAATCTATGACAACTCTCCAACAACCAGAAGGGTACCACAAAAAAACAGCGTTAAAAGAACAGTTCAGGTCATATTTTATCATAAAGTCCTCTGCTCCTATTGAGGAAATGGCAAAGCTACTCTTAATTGAAGGAAGACCAAAACTCACCTCAGCCACATTTGACAGCTCTCACAGCCTGACTCAAAACAAGTGAAGATCAGGAGAAATCTCCAACCGATTGCAAAGAGGATTCTGCTAGAAGATGTTAAGTGCATTTGGGGATACCCAGTACTTTGTGAAAGTGCCATGGAGTAATTTCTTTCATTTCTACCTCAGATTGTGGACACAGTGCCACATATCAAATACTGGTCTGGATGGTGCATAGTGAGGATGCTTTAAAAAACCCCCACAACAACATTTAAAAATCCCCTGAATTAACATAAAGAAAGGGTATGTACAGATGGGAAAATATGACTAACAGCAATCTTGCAGCGAAGAACTTGAAACAAAAAAGAAGAATAAAATAATCTGTTTATACCAAGTCTGCAGCTTTAAGGAGTGGCTGAACACCTGCAGGACTACATGCATCTCCTATGTGGTGTCACTATTCTCAGATTCTGTGTCTGGCTGGACGCAGCTAAACCTCCTACAGAAATTGACTGGAGTAAGAAGACTGAAGTCTTCAGTTGTCCACACATTTGGGGACAGGTCCTGGAAATTTTAACTTTATTTCTGAGATCTGATAAGATGGGAAAACAGAATTCCTCATACTTGGGCTTTCTACTTAACTTATTTATAGTAAGTAAAGTAACTGAGGCAAGCTTTCTTTTCAGAAAACGTTTAATTTTCATCAGGTCTGAAAACTCCCAAATGAAATTTCTTCACAAGCCAATTTGAAAGAACTGAATTTCTAACCTGAAAATAAGGTCGTTTGGTACTCAAATCCTGCTTCATGTTTTCACTTGACTCCCAGGTAGACACCCAAGAGAGGAACATACACCAAATATTCCAAAGCAGCTGTCTGCCTAGATGTGTACCTAAAGTACTGAGTTCTTTGTTTTCCTGGTTTTTTGGTTAAGTAAACTTAAGTTTTGCCATTAATTCAGCAGGAGCAGAATCGGTTCCATTGTTGGGTGGCTTTCAACAATGTGTTTTCTGTTATGGGAACACCAAAAAAACAAATAAATACATGCTGTGATGAACCATATGACATCCAATGAAGACACGTCCTGAGCTAGCAGAATTATGAACATGTTGCAACACAAAGGAGAAGTTTTACAACACACCGTAAGTCATGCAATAGGAATTACCGTGACAGTCAGGGTGGCAATCCTCTGTTGGCAAAATGCATTAACAGGAGACATCATTAGCAGAATTAAACAATTATAAAATTATTCTGCTTGCTA